CAATGGAGATCCTGGAGGTCCCTGAGACCCTTTTAGAGAATCTGCAGAATTCTCCCTTTTCCAACTAAATATCTGTAAGAAGCCATTTTTCCCCACATATTTAAATCAAAGCAACATATCACAACAGGTTCAGGAAAAGTAGATGTAAGAATCCAGATGTCTTTTATTTAGCAAAAATTGCAGAGGTTTGCAAACATTCAAAACAATAGAACTTTTCTTTTTTTTTTTTTTTTTATTGGATTATAGGTTTTGGGGTACATGAGCAGAGCATGCAAGACAGTTGCGTAGGTACACACATGGCAGTGTGCTTTGCTTTTCTTCTCCCCTTCACCCACATTTGGCATTTCTCCCCAGGCTATCCCTCCCCCCCCCCCCCCTCCCACTGGCCCTCCCCTTTTCCCCCCAATAGACCCCAGTGTTTAGTACTCCCCTTTCTGTGTCCATGTGTTCTCATTTTTCATCACCCACCTATGAGTGAGAATATGCGGTGTTTCATTTTCTGTTCCTGTGTCAGTTTGCTGAGGATGATGTTTTTCAGATTCATCCATGTCCCTACAAACGACACGAACTCATCATTTCTGATTGCTGCATAATATTCCATGGTGTATATGTGCCACATTTTTCCAATCCAGTCTATTATCAATGGGCATTTGGGTTGATTCCAGGTCTTTGCTATTGTAAACAGTGCTGCAATGAACATTCGTGTACATGTGTCCTTATAGTAGAACGATTTATAGTCTTTTGGATATATACCCAGTAATGGGATTGCTGGGTCAAATGGAATTTCTATTTCTAAGGCCTTGAGGAATCGCCACACTGTCTTCCACAATGGTTGAACTAATTTACACTCCCACCAACAGTGTAAAAGTGTTCCTGTTTCTCCACATCCTCTCCAGCATCTGTTGTCTCCAGATTTTTTAATGATCGCCATTCTAACTGGCGTGAGATGGTATCTCAATGTGGTTTTGATTTGCATCTCTCTGATGACCAGTGACGATGAGCATTTTTTCATATGATTGTTGGCCTCATATATGTCTTCTTTCGTAAAGTATCTGTTCATATCCTTTGCCCACTTTTGAATGGGCTTGTTTGTTTTTTTCCTGTAAATCTGCTTGAGTTGTTTGTAAATTCTGGATATCAGCCCTTTGTCAGATGGGTAGACTGCGAAAATTTTTTCCCATTCTGTTGGTTGCTGATCCACTCTAGTGACTGTTTCTTTTGCCGTGCAGAAGCTGTGGAGTTTCATTAGGTCCCATTTGTCTATTTTGGCTTTTGTTGCCAATGCTCTTGGTGTTTTGTTCATGAAGTCCTTGCCTACTCCTATGTCCTGGATAGTTTTGCCTAGATTTCCTTCTAGGGTTTTTATGGTGCCAGGTCTTATGTTTAAGTCTTTAATCCATCTGGAGTTAATTTTAGTGTAAGGTGTCAGGAAGGGGTCCAGTTTCTGCTTTCTGCACGTGGCTAGCCAGTTTTCCCAACACCATTTGTTAAACATGGAATCCTTTCCCCATTGCTTGTTTTTGTCAGGTTTATCAAAGATTGTATAGTTGTATGTATGTTGTGTTGCCTCCGGTGCCTCTGTTTTGTTCCTAGAACTTTTCTAAGTAATTATTTTTGTTTTAGAAAATAGTTACTTGTTTAAATAAAACTATATTATTTATGTTAACATATAATGGTTTTATTTTAATTAATTAAATAGAACTGTAAAAAAATTGTATTTCTAATATTGTAAATATGAAGAAATATAATTCATATGAACAAAAAGCTTTTTGGAGTTCTCACTTATGTAGAAGAGTGCAAAGGATATCACCTCACGCTGTAAGAATGATTTTTTTTTTTTGAGACGAAGTCCTACTCTGTCCCCCAGGCTGGAGTCAGTGGCATATCTTGGCTCACTGCAAGCCCCGCCTCTCGGGTTCAAGCGATTCTCCTGACTCAGCCTCCTGAGTAGCTGAGACTACAGGTGTGCACCACCATGCCTGGCTAATTTTTGTATTTTTAGTAAAGATGGGGTTTTACCATATTGGCCAGGCTGGTCTCGAACTCCTGACCTTGTGATCCGCCCACCTCTGCCTTCCAAAGTGCTGGGATTACAGATGTGAGTCACTGCGCCCTGCCCTTGAATGATTTTTATAAAAAAAGAGAAAAGATAACAAATGATGGCAAGGATATAAAGAAAAGAGGACCCTAGTACACCATTGGTGGGAATGTAAATTAGTACAGCTATTATGAAAACTAGTATGGGGCTTTCCAAAAAACTAAAAATAGAGCTGCCATGTGATCTAGCAATTCCACTTCTGGATACATATCCAAAGGAAAGAAAATCAGTACATTGAAGAGATATCTGCTCTCCTATGTTCATCACAGCATTATTCACAATTGCCAAGATAACAGAATCAACATATATTCATCAACTGATGAATGCATAAAAAATCAAGATATTCCTCAATGGATGCATCCAAAAAGAAAACATCGTACATGTACATGATGAAATACTATTGAGTCTTAAGAAATTGTATCATTTTCAACAACATGGAACCTGGAGGACATTATGTTTAGTGAAATAAGCTGGCACCAAAAGATAAAGACTGCATGATATCACCTATATGTGGAATGCAAAAAGGAAAAAAAAAAAAAGAAAAGAAAAGAAAAAAAAATGAACTCATGGAAGCACGGAGCAGAATGGTGGTTATGGAGACTGGGACAGAAAGAAGATTGAAAGGGGGAGATGTTGGTTAAAAGGTGGTAGAAAATTTTCAGGTAGACAGAAGAAATACTCTTTGGAGAGCTATTGTACATCACGGGCTATAATTAATAATCATATATAGCATACTTAAACATTGCTAAGAGAACAGAATTTGAGTATTCTCCTGTCCAAATGATAAGTATGCGAAGTGACAGATATGTTAATTGGCTTGATTTCATCATTTCACAGTGTATACACACATTAGACAATTAAAAAGTAAATGGCAAATCTGGGTAAAGAATATATCTCACTGTACTATTTGTACAAATTTTTTTGTCTGAAATCATTTCAAAATGAAATGGAATAAAAATAAAAATATTTTTGGATAATTAAAAAAGAGAGTATAAGGATTCTTGAGATTAAAATAAAAATAAAATGGAAGAAAGGATATTTTTGCTGAATGAATTTTAAAAAGAGTTTAAAAGGTCTTGAGATTAAAGTTTTAAAAGTCTGAGCCCCTGACCTTAGGTGATCTGCCTGCCTCGGCCTCCTGTAATCTCAACTACTTGGGAGGCTGAGGCGAGAGAATTGCTTGAACCCAGGAGATGGAGGTTGCAGTGAGCCGAGATCGTGCCACGGCACTCCAGCCTGGGAGACAGAGCAAGACTGCATCTCAGGGGAAAATAAAAAAAAGTTTGAGACCTGGTCCTGCTCCATTCACAGAAATGGAGATAGCACCAGATAAAAATGAAGTAAAAGTTGTCTGTTCAGTCTTGCAAAACAGCAGGAAGCCTGAGAAAGGAGAGGTTATTCAGAACGCAGTGAATCTTGGGGAAGAGGTTTATTCCAGCGTTCCTCTCTGCAATAGGACTTAATTCTCTCTCCAAATCCCTATTTGGAAGTTTGTGTCTTAGCTTTCCTCTGTTATGACTTTTCCTGCTCCTTCTGCTCTGGGTACAAACACCATAAAATTTATTGCTTTCCCAATAACACTTTTGAGAGCAAAAAACGGTATTATTAATAATTACAGGACAATAGCCTTGCCTGGCTGCCATCTTTCTTATCCTGTCAAGTAAGTACCCCCAAGAGTGGAATTGTTAACTGTTGTAGATGCTGTCCACTCATGATTGAATCAGGAATAGGAACACCAGTCATTACATTAGCCACGAGGTGATCAGGTTTCAAGAGTGCGTTTCTGTATCTGATCTCCAACACATTTTGCTTTTTAAACTTGAAATTAGAGACAAGACCAGATGGCAGTAGATTGACTCTAATACAGAGAGCTCTTTAGAAATTTTGATTTTTTTTGCTATAAAATTTTAATTGTACTTTAATGTCATCATCACAAACTGAAGGGTGGGTTGATGAGTTTACTCAGAATAGGGTGATACAATCTTTAGGGCGGAGTCTCTGACTGATTGGCTGGAGAATGTTTTCCAGGAAGTATAAACAGTCTCGCTTATCTGTGCTGAAGCTCAGAGAGCAGCAGATGTCTGTAGTGGCGCAGGCTTCCAATCTTCAAGACTTCTACTGGAAGTCTCCAAGTCAAGGTAACTTGTACCTTCTGTTTAAGCTGTTTCCAATATCCTATTCTGCCTTTGGCCACTAACTGTTTTTTTTCCCTGATGCCTTTAACTATCGTACTTTAGAGGAAGAAGAGCTAGTTTTGTCTTGTGTCGTGGAACTTTCTTCACATTTAACTCTAACACTGCATTTTAAATTTTTGTGTATGAACCTTAGGTCACTCTTTGCGTGAACTTGTATTACTATGATTCTCTAGCAATTTAGTGTCACTTTTATACAAAACTACAGAACTGTTACTTAATTTTTGTTATTCATTAATTTCTTTTTTCTTTTTTTTAAATATATATTTTATTGCATTTTAGGTTTTGGGGTACATGTGAAGAACCTGCAAGATTGCTGCATTGGTACATACATGGCAATGTGGTTTGCTGCCTTCCTCCCCATCACCTTTATCTGGCATTTCTCCCCATGTTATCCCTCCCAAACTCCCCACCCCCTGCTGTCTCTCCCCTAGTTCCCTGCCACAGACACCAGTGTGTGATGCTTCTCTCCCTGTGTCCATGTGTTCTCATTGTTCAACACCCGCCTATGAGTGAGAACATGTGGTGTTTGATTTTCTGTTCTTGTGTCAGTTTGCTGAGAATGATGGTTTCCAGGTTCATCCATGTCCCTACAAAGGACACGAACTCATTGTTTTTTATGGCTGTATAGTTGATAAATTTATTAAATAATATAATTTATTTATTATTTATGCTTATAACGAATTAATTTATATACTTTATTTTGGATTTAGACTACTGAAGAGTGGATTGTGTACTGAGGGCTCCCAAGTGCTTTCAGAAGCCAATAAAGGATCATTTCAGTTTACTTCAGGGCTAAGGAGTTAACCCTCAAGGACCATGGCCCAGAAACTGCAAGCAGAGTTGACCTGTCCAATTTGCCTGGATTTTTTCTCTGGTCCCATTTCTCTCTCCTGTGCACACATTTTCTGCTTTGACTGCATTCAGAACTGGATGCTAGAAACCCATGATTTGAAAGTGATGTGCCCCTTGTGTCGAGTAATGGTGGAGGCACCTTCTTTGGAAGAATGGCAAGTGAGAGCCATAGCACTTTTCACCAAGCAGCATGATTCCATATTTAAGAAAACTCTGCACATGAGGAAGGAGCTCCAGCATTACTGGGAGGATGTGACCCTGGATGCAGCCACTGCCAGCTCCCACCTTGTCTTCTCCAATGATCTGAGAAGTGCTCAGTGTAGGACGATCCACCACGACCTGACAAAAGATTGGAGGCTGCTGACCTGTGTCCTGGGTACTCCCTGCTTCTCCTCCGGCCAACATTACTGGGAGGTTAAAGTGGGAGAGGTGAAGTCGTGGTCCCTTGGCATCTGCAAGGAATTGGCTGACAGAAAGAGCAGTGATTTATCCCCTGAGCGTGGCTTCTGGATCATTAGCAAGGAGGCAGGAGCAATCCGTACTAATACCAACCTGAAGAAAATTCCTGCAAGCCCTGGCCTTTGCTGTGTGGGAATTTTCCTGGATGTTGACTTGGAAGAAATCCAGTTTTTTGATGTTGAAAATAATGCCCACGTTTATACACACAATTCTGTCTCCTCTTTAAAGCCTTTGCGTCCATTCTTCTGTCTTGAGCTGCTGAGAGGAGAAAATGGCACTGTCCTGACCATCTGTCCCCTGAGAAAATCAGTCCTTCCTAGGAGCTTGTTAAGAGGTGAACCTGCATAGTCAAGGCAATCCAAAACAAAAAAAACAAAGCTGGAGACATCACAATACCCAACTTCATACACTACAAGGCTACAGTAGTATAGTTTGTATCAGTACCAAAACAGCATGGTACTGGTACAAAAACAGATATATAGACCAGTGGAACAGATTAGAGAACCCAGAAACAAGACCTCATATCCACAACTATTTTATCCTTGACAAACCTGACAAAAGCAAGCAGTGGAGAAAGGATTCCTTTTTCAGTATACAGTGCTGGGATAACTGGCTGGCCATATGCAGAAGATCAAAACCAGACCATTCCTTACGTCACATACAAAAATCGACTCAAGATAGATGAAATAATTAAATGTCAAACCCCGAATTGTAAAAACCTTGGAAAACAACCTAAGCAATAGTATTCAGGACATAGGCATGGGGGCAAAGATTTCATGACAAAGATGCCATAAGCAATTGCAACAAAAGCAAAAATTGACAAACGGGATATAATTAAACTAAAGAGCTTCTGCACAGCAAAGCAAACTACCAAGCGAGTAAACAGACAACTTAGAGAATGAGAACGAATTTTTGCAAGCTATGCATATGACAAAGGTCTGATATCCAGCATCTAAAAGGAACTTAGGTTTCCAAGAAAAAAACCAAACAACTTTATTAAAAAGTGACAAGAGGGATCATGAGGTCAAAAGATTGACACCATCCTGGTCAACAAGGTGAAACCCTGTCTCTACTAAAAATTCAAAAATTAGCTGGGCATGGTGGTGCGTGCCTGTAGTCCCAGCTACTCGGGAGGCTGAGGCAGGAGAACTGCTTGAACCCAGAAGGCGGAGGTTGCGGTGAGCCGAGATCATGCCATTGCACTCCAGCCTGGGTAACAACAGTGAAACTCCGTCTCAAAAAAAAAAAAAAGAAAAAGGTGACAAGAGACACTAACAGAAGCTTTTCTGAAGAATACATACATGTGGCCGACAATCATATGAGAATAAGCTCAACATTACCGATTATTAGAGAAACGGAAATCGAAACCACAATGAAGTACCATCTCACACCAGTCAGAATGGCCATTATTAAAACATCAAAAAATGACAGATGCTGGTGAGGTCGTGGAGAAGAAGGAACACTTATACACTGTTGGGTACATTGTTAAATAGAGTACATTGTTAAAAAAATAAAATAAAGAAACTGACTGCTTATTGTAATCGCCAAAATGTTTGTTCTCCTTAACATTGGGATTTAGAACTTTCTGACAAAGGCTCTTGTCAGGCCCTGCTCTTCTATAGAAAGCAAATAAAAAAGTTTTCTGCCCCATAAGAGGTTACTGTCGTTGGACAGCCTACAAATATTGGCTTAGAATTTGGTGGAATGCTGTTGCTTCGCATAGGTGGCAGATTCTGTTGTGCCTCTAAAATGTACGTATAGATGCTGCATGCAGCCTGGTCTCAGCCCTTAGAATAGGGGCTTCTAGGAACCTCCCTTAAGGGATAGCTGGTTTTTCCTCCTTGCCTACTTTTTGGTCTCTTCCTGCACCCCTGCCACATGGAGTGCAGATGATTGGGCCACAGGGATGAGGGGCTGCCCAAGGGTCTGGGAGAACAGTGAACTGAAATCAGCCTACACCACTGAAGGCTACAAGTATCCCTGAGGGCTACACAGCCACTCTGACAGCCCTGGGACGCTTACGTCTAACTTCATTAATGTGATAAAGAAACCCCATGAGGCTACTTTACCTGGATAACAAACCTGTGCATGTACCCCTGAACTTAAAACTTAAAAAAAGTATCCTATACCTCAGCGAAAATAAATTCTAAATATTTGAGGTGGTGAATATATTAGCCTGATTTGATCATTCCACAGTGCATACATGTATCAGAACATCACACAGTACCCCACAAATATATACATTTATTATTTGTCAATTAAAAACAAAACTTAAAAAAGGAATAAACCTTTCTGTTTTCAGCCACTGTTAGATTTTTCGTGTTCTGCCTACCTTTGAACTTATTCCTGACTCCCGTTCTATTGTACCAAGATTTCTGAAGGCCTGTTGGGCAGCCTTAAAAATGCTTTTTATTTTGCCTTGTCCTCAGCTCTGCCCATTAGAACTTTGGTGAGTGTCTTCCAAGTGTCTCACCGTTTGCCGTTGGCTTCCTTCTCCTTCCTTTCTGTGATCAGCTTCAGTAATGAAAGAGTAGAGATAAAATGTGCCTCAGTTGTATTTTCTTAATGGAAAATTTTAAAGATACAAAATAGAGACTAGTATAATGAATTCACATGTACCTATCACTCAGCTTCAATCATAGCAACAATAGCCAACTCCCTGCCCCCAGATTGTTTAAGATCAAATCTCACACATCATATCATTTCATTCATAAATTCTTGTGACTATCTCTAAATGAAATGTATTTAGGAAAATGTAATTATGATGCTATTATACATAAAAATGAATAATCTGTTAATATAATCAAGTATCCAGTCAACATTCACAATCTGGTCTGATTCAGCTGTGAGGGTTTTAATTTCAGCAGTTCCAGCTTTTCTGAATTGGTCTAAGGAGTGTTTGCTTACATTTGACTCTCTGTGTTTTCTGTATTAAGATTTCCAATCTCAAAATAGTCAGGCACTTTTTTTTTCCAGTTTTCTTTTCAGTACTCAAGAAACCAACTAGGGCTCGCCTCACTTCCTTCTCATCCTCAAGTCATTATACCACCCTAACATCTGCCTGAGACTCCTGGGCACCCCTGCCACAGTCACCCAGGTATAGTTTGCTTTAAGGGCACCAGTGATCTTAAACTTCAACTTTCAGATTTGCACCCCGGTGAAAATGTGAAAAATTCACATTCACAGGTATCAGTGTGAGACACTTAAGTAACATTCTGAGACATGTTACTCAAGCAACATCTCAGTTCCATGGCCTCCTTTCTTGGTTCTGGAAGATTGTTTCTATTTTCCTCAGTAATAAGGGAGTAACTTCTGGGATTAGCGGCAAGATCCACTCTTTACTGAATCTGTGGGCTCTTAGTGTGGGCAGATTAGCCGCGGTAAGTGTTCTTCCTCAACAAGTGCAGACATTCCTTTTTGAGAAATTGCATTAGGGAGCATAGGTTTGTGGATGACCTTCCAAATCTATAGCAAAGTGAAAATTAATCTATATTTCTTTCTAAGAGAATTATTTAAGTGTCAAAGACTAAAGAAATTCTTTGGAAAAAGTGAAACATTCATGCAAAAAGCCTCCTGTTTACGGTTTTGCCACTGAAGTTAACCATAAATTAGATTGGAGGTTTTATCCAATTATGTTTGAGAAATTACTTGATTCGGTGTTTGTTCAGTTGAAGGAGTTGTACTCAGTTGCAATGATCATCTAACCTTTGTTACAGCTAATATAAAATTAAACTAATTTTAATTAGTCTTTATTGTTTAAGATGACATTTCAAACACTTATCATTCTATGATAAAGTTCTCCCTCTTATACTTTATTTTTCATAAATATTTATAATAATTCACATGCTATATGCATATTTTGGGACCTCTGCTTCTCAGGTTGGGATTTTCTTTTGTGCTTCAGACTTTTTAAAACAGCTAATAAATGCATGGGGTCCAATATTTAAAATGCTACATAGTGAAACTGTTTATGACTGATCTCTGTAGTGATTATAAATAACTAACTGGTAGTATTGTCTTCATCAGCACTGTGCTGAAAACTTTTGAGATTCCTTCTTTCTAGTCCTTATTTTCTTATTGGCAATCAAACCCTTCCCTCCTCCTGGAGCCTCCCCCCATTCCCCACTCAAAGTGCACACTGGTGACATTCAGAGAATTTCCATCTTGGCCTGCTTCTTGATACTGTATCTAAATATATCTACAGGTGTGAACAAAGCCTGCTAAAGTTCATAGGCCCAGAAAACATGTTACCATCTCTTGGAATGATGAGAAAGAAGTACCAAAGAGACTGAATTTATAACAATTTTGAGAATGGAAAGCTGGAAAACCATATGTTTTATATTGATTTCTGAAATTTAGAAAAAGCATCTGGACTCTTTTTAGTAAATAATAGAAAAAAATCAGTATTTTCTCCTATAGGGAGATTTTTACTGTAAAGTTTTAGACATACACTTAATAGAGCATATAAACAACCAATGCATTTATAAGTCAACCTCAATCATTATAAACATGTGGTCTCAAGGTTATTCTGAAGCGAATCCCAGCCACTGTATCATTTCTTTTTTTTTCTCTTCAATTATCTTATTTTTAATGACCTGAAAACCAGTGCTGAGACTCACGATTTAAACTGCCTAATTTCTTTGCTCTGTGTTTTGGAAGGGACAGGGTTGGCATTTCCCACTATGGCTGAGTTAAGTTAAAACTTTGTCTTGTAAATAAATACATAATTTCCTAATGCACACTGCAAATCCAAACGAGACCTAGTTTTTATCAAGGGACCAGGCGTTTCTGGGCACCCATTGTCACTGCTTTTCCTGAGGGCTGGGCTGTGGCTGCCACGAGGAGGATGCAGCCAGAATGGCTTCCCTTCTGAGATTCGCAGCTCTTCAGACAGGTGGAGAATCTGCTCCTGCCTGTCAGGGCTTATGGAGTCTGGCTCTTGAGAAAAATCTTGCTGAGGCAGGTCCTCTGGCAGTACCGGCACTTTACTGCAAATGACTGGAAACTGAGACTTTGTACAAACCTTACGTGGCAAGTTGGTTTTGACACTCACCATCTTGGCGGATTTGTGGCGTTAACACTGTAGTAGGAACTTTCTCGGGAAGACCTGGATCTCTGTCCTCAGAGAAGCTGAAAAAATGGCTTGGGCCACCTATGGTTATGTCCACAAGGAGAAGAGAGAATGTGGGAGGTTTGCAAGGCTGAATGGCCTTTAGTTTTAACTTGAAAGCTGGCAACCCAGACCCAAACCCACTGTGCTAGTTCTTGCTAGGTAGAAAAGAACTAGGTGCCAAAGGCTTTGATGTCATTTTTTTGGTACTTGACCTGATTTCCTGTTTGGAAACAGTTCTCTTTTAATGAGAATGAGAAATTGGGAGGCCTGTTGCACTAGTCTGTTATCATGCTGTTAATAAAGACATATCCAAGACTGACTGGGTAATTTATGAAGAAAAAGTTTAGTTCTACATGGCTGGGGAGATCTCTCAATCATAGTCGAAGGCAAAGGAGGAGCAAAGACTCATCTTACATGGTGGCAGGCAAGACAGCATGTGCGGGGGAACTGCCCTTTATAAAACCATCAGATCTCCTGAGACTTACTCACTTTCACAAAAACAGCATGGGAAAACTGTCCCTGTGATTCAATTACCTCCCACCAGGCCCCTCCCATGACATGTGGGGATTAGGGAAGCTACAATTCAAGATGAGATTTGGTGAGGACACAGCCAAAGCATATCACCTGTGAAAGGCAGTAGAGTTTTATAAAAATATATAGTGACCCACATTTCAGGGACCAACACCATGGACTTTCATCTTGCTCACCAAATTCTTCATAAGATAGAGCTCACTCTCTATAGCCTTAGCATCTTTGGCACCACAGAACCTTCACTGCTTGAAATTCACTTATGAAGTCCAACAAACAACTTTCTTTAAACAAAGAGGCATTTATTCAACTTAAAGTATAAAAAACAAACAAAAATCCACCACCAACCAAAAAAAGGCAGTAAAATCTCAGAACTTCTGTGCAATGCTTCTAATCAGCCTACTTATTAAATAAACAGAACACCAAACCAACCAAAAGCTATTCAAGTGGCAGGCTGCCCTGGGCAGAGCCCTGCCTACCTGATTATGGCTTCCTCAGTGTGAGAGCACAGTGTGATCATGCTGGAAGAAATGAGAGGTGGTTTTGCTCCTTGACTTTCAAACCCTAACTTTGGGAGCTCCTAATCCTAACACTGTATTTGGTAGCTGAAGTTATCTAGCC